AATCCAGCCTGAGAACTGGGAGCGCCCTTGTCCCCCGAGTTGCTCGGGAAAGCTAGTCACAACTCCCCAAGAATTGACAGCTAGGACAGACGTCCTGATCAGTAACTTGATCGGAGAGCATCTGTTGATGATCTCAACCAACAAATCAATGCATTATGACTTACTGTTGCTCACCTCAATGTGGCATTTGTCATAAACCTGCCTATGGAGAGAGGGCTTGTTGTTTCGTACCTCGGTCTAGATCGCGGAATGCAGAGTTCTCGAGATAATTCTGCACCCTCGACGCGACGACCACATAATCCAGCCCAAACACGGTGAAAAGATGGACTTGGGCCTCTTCGCTTGGGCAGTTCTTCCAGCGCCAGATCGGAATCTAACGCCGCGCGAAGGGTCTGTGGAATGATGCCTCCGCGAGTTCTGAAAGCAATCTACCAGCCAACAGTCATCTTGACCTTCGAAGGATCCCTGTCCGAGCTTTAGGTGGGGTCTGTTAGCTCAGCAATCCCTCGAAAAGTTTTCCTGCATATGTAAGCAGGGAATTTCTTCGGCACGGGGCCAGCGTGCTGCGATTTGTTTGGAGACTGGGATCCTGCAGATGGCGCGTGAGAGTTAATGCAAGTTTCCAAGGAACGTATCAAGCTCGTGCCCGACACGGAGCAGCTGCCCGCCATCCTTCCAACCTTAACCCCCTCTCTAGCCAAGCGGTGTGAACATTGCTGACGATGATGCTCAGAAGACTTCGCCCACAGAGGCAGTGAACGACCTGTTCCAGGCCGAGAGGAAGTGAAGTTTTAGGGTGTCGTGAGGACTGTGCCTCATCAGGCTGGTAAAGGGCGGAAAGCCGGTAACAACAAAGGTTTGCGGCCAGCCTCTACTCGTGGAATACGCCCGCATGACGCGTGATTCGGCGAGAGATGAGAATGGGAATCATGCGAGGACGGATTCATCGCCGATCTGTCTGCTTCGATTATGAGTGAATGCGTATTCTCTCCTTGCGGACTGGATCGAAGGATCTAGGTTGCGCAGTTTGGCGAAGCGATGACCATGCAGTCTCGAATAACCTTGCCGAAGTCAGGCGGATCCGTAAGCCATGATTGGTGAATTGTCAGAACCAGGAGCCTGGTAGGGCCCCGAGTGTGGATGCTGCTGGAGAGCTCCGTAGTGTAAGAATAGGAGGATGACCAGGCTCATGGGGGTGGTGTTAGTGGGGGAGAGGGAAAGGGGGGCCATCACGTCTGATGCAAGAGGACTTGTCATAGATCAGGCCCAGATCGACGACATCTGGCTCTCCACAGTGACCATACTGAGGATACTTCATTTGATGATGCATCTCAAAGCACCTCCTTGTTTTGGTTTGGTGATGATGACTGCAGTGGGATACAACTCGATGAAAGTGAAATTGAATATGTACTCCGTAGTGCAAAGTGGTTCCCACAGAGAATTGTCGGCCGCAATCGGGCCGAGCAGCGCAAGGTGGCCATTTACGATTTCAGGACGACGCAGCTCAATGCCGGATTCGTCCCTGTCGACCGATACAACAACACCTATGAGCGGCTCAGTGAAGTATGTCGGCCTGAATGCAGCCTGCTGGAAGTGTTGAAGAGGATGGGAGACGGTAAATCAGCATTAAGGGTAAAGAGGAATTTGGTCTGCACCAAGAGCTGCTCTAAGCCCAAAGTGTGGTCGATCTTATTTTTGTGCCCCTTTTCTGGAACGGACTTTTGCAACACTTCCGGGGAGGGGAAGTGACAGGTGAGACTGGAGGTTGCGTCGAGGCATAATACCGAAGCTATGCAAGTGGCCGTGGCACCTTGGTGGTTTATGGGGGTTGGTCGTCACGTGGGGCATGGTCAATTCCGCAATGTCACAAGGCTGGCTGTCCTATTGTTACCTTGTGGGCTGTCCTTCCGCCTATCTCTTCCCCTGTAAGCATTGTCCTGTTCCTTCAAGCTGCAAGCCATATGTGGATAACAATCGTATGATGAATCAAGTTACATTGGACCACTTCCCAATTCTGGTAAGCCTGGTATCAAGGTTGTTTGAACAGGTAGCGGTGGCACGATTCCGAGGATTTTCTCCTGTGGCGTCCATGGCAGGACGCTTTGGTCTGTGAATGTGTGTCTTTCAGCTCGTTTCGAATACGAGATTGGATAGGAGTAGACGTTTGGACTGGGGAAGGTCTTCTAGAAGAAGCAGGGTGATGGGAGAATAGAAACAGACAGGCATGGACGGTTTGAGTAATTGAGTACTCGGTAATAGCATACGAATGCAGCAGTCGGCCAGACCAGGTTGGGTCCAAGAGGTGGGCGAGGTGGGGTATAAGGTATAGTGTAGTGCCACCAGTGCGTAAGTAGAGAAGAAATGGTGGAAGGACGAGGAAGACGAGAAGAAGCCAAAGCCTGAGGCGCAGTTTGGCGCTGGCGCAGGTGGTTGTGGATGTGGATGTGGATGGGCAGGGGGTCCAAGTTGCCAAGGTGCCAAGAATGGAGCCCTATTTGCTATTTCGGGCAAAAGGTAGGGGTCCCGGAAGCCAATCAGAGCCACAGCCTTGTTCCCTTAACCAGCATATCATTAATCAGCGCCAGCACCACCAACAGTGAATCCCCATCACCACCAGCGTCTTTCTTGGACCCCTCGCATTTGCCCCCAGCCGAGCACTTACTGTTTGGTGTTTCATGACTTGCTCCTTTGAGTTCATCCCGTAGTTTCAGGCACACATCCCCTCCGCAATCAAGAAACCAACCGAGATCGGCCCATCATTCAGTCATTCCGTCAGTGAGCCAGCAAGCCAACAAGGAAAGGATGCGAACAAAACAACTCCCTACCACGCCCCTGCCATGGATCGACGTCATCTCCTTCTCCAAGTACTCTGAGCGCGACTATTGATTATACCGTATACTATTATCCTGCGCTCTATCCGGCTCCCACAGATCGGATCTGACCAGTAGAATTTGGTTATATAATCGTTCCGCTGTGAGGTGAGGTGAGAAGACCACACACAGCCGGTCGATCTTTGGGTTGGCAAACCCTCGCCTATTTTCCCAAGGGTTCCCAAGGGCCTGCAACCCATCCCACCGGTGCCTCTTTTGGCCTGCAGTCCAAAAAAAAAACCCACCCCCCAAAGAACCGGCTCGACTTTCTCTCGTCATCCAGGAACCTAGCCGAAGCTCGAACCGGGAATAACTGTCTGTTCCCAACGGGTGCATCACCCACCGCACGACCCCGTCTCAACAGGTTCTGGACGGTGGCCTTCAAAGCAGGTACCGTCAGCGCTATGCGGTGCGCGGGTTGAAGCGTGTGGCAGGTTGCCAACTTTGGAAGCACTTTCGATCTATTCGGCCACCACCCCGGGCGATCGTCGTGTCCTCGTGAATGACTCTGCAGAGCCTGACATATCAAATGTTCATCCTGAAGTAGATGTAGTTGATTGAGGTGAGGAGGTCTGGGGCACTTGGCCGAGTCGTCGCTTGATCATGCCCACGCCCATGTCCATGTCTGTGCCCTACCTATACCCACCCAACCCAACTCACCGCCGCCGTTTCGCCGGTTTCAGTTATCGTCAACACGCCTTCCCCTCCCGTCTTCGTGTGTCTATCCCATGATTTGTGTGTTTGTTTGTTCTTTTTTTTTCTTTTGTGATGACCTCGCCGAATTGCACATTCATCAGAAGAAGGGGGGACGGAAACCCCGAGGGTTTAGAGTTTACCGACGGAGAAACCTAGAGGCATCCAGTTCCCCTCAAAAACCATTTGTCAGATGTGTGCAGAAGAGAAGCGACCGTCGCGCGCTGTTTGTTTGGCTCCATGGCCTTCGCGATTGGCCCTTGGGCTACGAATTACACGAACATGTCCCAACTCCAAAAAAAAGGCACAAGATATTTTACCCAGGACTGCAGCAAGAGCAGGTGATGTCATGATCCTCCTTGCCTATCCTTGTTCCGTCGTCCCTGCTGGCCTGTCCAGGATGGACGGGCTCCCCCCTGCCCCCCCGGTCTGATCTGGCGAGCTGGGATTTGCAATGAAAGGCCCGTCCATGGCCCCAAGACCCTTGGCATCGAGACCGGAATGCACTTCGATTCGCATCCAGCGGCCGGGGGTGGTGGGTGGATGCGAACGCCGGAATAGGAAGATAACAATCTCCCCCCTGGTAAACCACCATTTTTCCTCGGTCAATGCCGGCTTTTCGTATATCCTCTTTCACGGTCTCTCAGGATTTTTTTTTTCCCCCTCTCCCCCTTTGACTTGAGTATTCTAGGCAATTCGTGGCTTGCGTGCAGGATAATGCCACTGCCCGCGGAGCCGCACCGTTGCTTGGGCCCCAAGCACTTTCCGGATGTCGTATTTCCACAGCTGTGCGCCGTTGATAATCATCGAAAGGACAAACAGAACATCCTTGTTGCGGAATTTCGACTACGGATCATTGGAGAGGCTGGAGGACTCTCCCGGCAAATATAAAAGTGGAATATGCACATATGGAGCATAATCCGGCGAAAACGTATGTGGTAGCATTCAGAAATCTCTTACAGAGCTTCGTACAGTTTCATCCAGATGATGGTACACTCTGAGATCGGTAATGTCTCTGCCCGCAGGCCGCTATCTAATCCCAACATGACCCTGGCCAAAAAAAAGAGTGAAAAGCGTTGCCGAACTTCCAGTAGCAATGCACCCTGGAAGAAAAGAAGGACAAAAAAAAGGATTTCAACTGTTCCGTGTGACCAAAATTCGTCCGTGGTGTACAACAGCCGAGAGCCAGTCTCTGCTCTGCCGCATTCCGACGTCTCCCCAATATGTCCCGATCCGAAAGAGGTCTTGTAGGCCCTGCTGCATGTCCATACCATAGTCCCCGGTAAACTCTGGAATTAAAGGTGAGGAAAAGAAAAAAGACAAAGACCATAGACTTTCATAGGTGCTTGGAGGGGGTGGGGTGGCAAGAATGAGAACCCTGAACTCTCTCTTTTATTTTGCCTCTCGGTCCTCGCCGACAGCCCACTCATCCTACGTTTAATTTCCAGTCGTGCTCGGGGGCTTGTCCCAGTGCTTGAGCATTTGACGGAGGGCTCGAGTCCATTCCGCCACACAGGCGTTGACAAGGCGGTCGAACTCTTCTTTCGTAGGCCGACGACCTCCCCAGGTGCTTGCCTTGGAGGCCAGGGCACGAGCATGTTTCATAATGAGATTTCTGAGGGGCAAAGTCAGCATCTACAGCACGGGCCCCGAAACGAGAATTAATTGCTTACTCCTTTTCCATCTTCACCAGAACTAACCAGCAGTAGTTCCAGCTCCGAGTGCTACTCGGGTCGCGTACCACCATCGCTTTTGCTTCATCAAGACACTCGGAACTGAATGGGTAGGTCCTGGTCAAGCCCCGAAGTTCATTCAGCAGGTTGTTCGAGTTCACATAATGAGCCCATGCCGTGGTCATTGGCTCAGTTACTTCGGCAGAATCTAGAAACGCAAAGATCTTTTCGATACGACGTAGCTCGGTGATGGTGTTGACTCGATGAGTTCGAAGAGACTGGACCAATTGGTCCTTGTTATTCTACATTTCTCAGTCAGCTGTCAGATTCTGGCAAGGTTGGAGTGCACGAAAAGAACCAGGATATTTGAAGAAATATGCTGGAAAAAGAGAGATAAGGAGAAAAGGAAAAGAGAAGGGGGAGAGAGGGAGAGAGAGAGAGAGAAGGGCAAGAAGGAAAGATATCAGGAAATCAACAAAGAACTCGCAAACATAGGAAATATTACAAAAATAAAGCCTGGACTGACTTGGCTCATTGACCGAGGATCAGCTGGTGTGCCAGGAGAAACAAGCTGATACTGCTGCGGTCGAGTCGTCGAGACCGTGGTCGGTCCCGGGCCTGCGGAACGAGACATGGCGTCTTCGAAGGGAGAGGCGGGAGACTGATATGATACTGGTCGGGCTGGTGACTGCTCTGAGAATGAATCAAGCGTCACGGGTTGCCGTCCCGGGGAGAGGTACGAGGGACTCTGGGAGCTCCGTCCAGCAGGATGAGAGGGCAAGGCAATGCGTCCTGACGAGGAAGACTCTCCTTGCTGACGAGGTTGAGGTCTCTTGGACGTATTTGTATTCCGGTCGCTCCTCGAGGCCTCTCCGGAGTAATCGTCCATAGATAGCAAGATGCAGTAGACAATGGCTCTGGACCCGGTAGAAGAGTTTTGGCGGCCTTGAGTAATCGTTGATGATATAACCCAAGGGGGGTGGAACGCGACTCGTTCGGGCAGGAAAGGGGCGTGGTGGTGTGTATGTGAGTATGTATAAGGTGAATGTGTGTGGGCGACGCAAAATTAGTCAGAACGCAGCATTGGACGATGATGAGGAGAGACCGTAGAAGGAAGCGGTGCGCAGTGTAGCTGCTCACTTGGACTCAAAGCGAATGGAACAGACCAAGACGGGGAGAGAGGCTGACACATGGAGACACATGGAGTGCGAGTGCGAGTGCCCGCAGAGGTATTATGACTTTCTGGCCAAAGCGTGATGCGTGATGTGCCGAGCAAAAGAGTTAGCAAGTCCGATAATCTTCTCCATCGACAATCAGTCGGTATAGGAATGATGACCGCTTGGAGGTGCTTGCGGCTGTATTGTCGCTGCTCGCCGCCACACACCAAGGCACGGTACGGTCATCATCCGAACGGCAGCTGCTACAGCTCCCATCCAGATCTAACGTGATGGGAAGGGAAGACACGATGCTCCTCGCTCCGTACCCTCAGCCTCAGGCCTTCAGTGTCCGGGGGCAGGAGGGTAGGAGACTTTTTGGCATCATCGGGGCAAGGTTGCAAGAGTCATTGGATTTGACCACGTGCCGGGCGCCGAGATCTGACGAAGGGCCGGTCAAGGAGGGAGCGAGGGAGGAAGGGGGGAGGAAGACGAGGACAGGCATTGGCGAGCAAAGGGATGGTTGGGATGGGGGATGGGACAAGCGTCACGGGAGGAGGCAATGGGGGCCAGATTGGATGGACTACCTAGAGAGAGCATCGGGCCTCATTTGGTGTGAAGGCCGGAGTCGCAGTGAGTTCGCGAGGAGAGAGGGCGGGTTGAGGTGAGCTCCAAACAGTTAGCAGAAAGAAAGAAAAAAGGAAGAAAGGGAAGAAAGCGGGCGTCACTAAGCGCGGGACGGCGGAAGAGGGGCCACCAGGGCGCTACGATGGTAGTGGTAAGTGGTAAGTGGTTAAGTTTGTAACAGAGCACCGAAGACGTTGGTAAAGGTGGAGGTGAGCAAAGGTGAGGTGACAGACAGTAGGGCAGCGCAGGGCGGTGGTGAGAACGAAGGTAACCGTAACTCTGTCCTCGCCTTCAGATACTCGTGGTGTGTACCTAGTACGTCGGGGCAGTTGGGTCCAGACCGAATGCTAGTCAACCGCAAAAACACCACCGACTTCGATTTCTGATCATATCCAAAAGTCCATTCCATTGGCATCGTACCGGTTAGCAGAAGCCACCAGCGAGCTGACTAAGTGCAGCTTCACCACAGTGGCACACACCGATCATGCCGAGCCTAGCCTTGTACGGAGTAATCATTTTCTCAGCCTCTTCGTTGTTGCGGCTGTGCTGCTGAGCTTCAGTGGATCTACTTTCCTGAATCCTCGCTATCCGTCGCCCCATTGGGCATCTGGGCCAGTGCGTGGATCCCCATTCTGCCCTATTCCGCTCTCTTGGAGCCCTATATCTGGCCCCCTCCAAATAGTCCCCTGGTCTCGGTGCCTGCGTAGTGCCCATTAGCCACTGGCCAAGAGGCTGACACTCAGATCAGCCACCCGTCTCCCTTCTTTTGGGCCTCGTATACAGGAAGATCAGATTGCCGACCTTCACATCGCCAATGGGAGGCCGATTCGTTAATCGAACTTGGCACGGCCCGATCAAGATCTGACTTCACGTCAACAACGACGTGACTGCAGTCGCATCTTGAGCCAAGGTCTCCAAAGACCACCCTCTGCGGAAAATGAGGCCGTGAGGCTTGCGAAAGTGCCCGTCCAAGGGCTTGGACTTTTCCATGGGGCTGGCCAACATTGTTCAGACGAATCCTTCGTACATCAATTTTGGCCTTGCCCGTTCCGGGCTATGTCAGTAGCATCGACCGGCAGTGGGTGTGCATCCTGGGACCAAGTTGGCCGAACTGTGGTTGCTTCACCTGGGCCCCCCGGGGCGCTGGCGGTAGTCCTGGGTGCCATACGGGTTCGAACCTCCTCCACCCCTCCTGTAGTTGTACGCATAAGGATCATCTCCGCCCGTCGACCAAGGCTCTGAGGCTGAAATATAGGGCTGAGAAGACCCAGTGCGAGGAGGCGGATGATGGGTTAGATTTCCGCCCGACGGACCATAAGACGTCTGGCTGCCACTTCCCCCACTGCTCAAACCACCCGATGGACTGTTTCGTCCACTGCCGCCGCCCTGCAACCGAGCACGGAGTCGATCACGAGACCCTAGGGCTCCAGCATTTGTAGCGGGGTTGGTTTGGTAGCTTCCAGCCCTCTGGCTTGGCAGAGGCCGGGCACTGGGGCCGGGTTGTGTCAAAGGCGTCGTTCCGCCACTGCTGCTAGACTGCGATCGCGCAGAATCATTCGAACGCAAAGAGTGTGGCGTTGGTCGACCAGCTCGGAGACTTTGAGTGGGAGGAGCAACAGGGGCAGGAGCAGGATCCCATAGATCCGAAAGTCCTCCGCCGCGGCCTCCTGACGGCCCTCTTGAGTGTGTTTGCGGATTATCGTACTGCGAGCCATATGCACTGGCATACTGCCCATAGGAGCCCTGAGGCTGAAGAGGAGGTGCGGCTACGGGCTTTTTGGGATCAGGTGGCAGCCACTCGGGAAAGGGCCGTCCTTTTTCTGTGTAATATGCGCGCAGGACGTTTGAAATGTGTGAGCAATCTTCGTTGTCCGGATCGTCTTCTTCCGAGTCTCTGGTTGTCAGAGCCTTCCGCAGCGTCGCAAACCGTGAGGAAAGCGTGCTCGACCACGTCGAAGTTGCGCCGGGGGTGCCTACACCCTGTGACGTTGGTCGTGTAGTGGACGACGAGTTGGAGGTGAGGTAGGAGAAATAGGACGCCATGGTTTGAGGAGATCTAGGATCTAGGCTTCAGGCAGGGGGTGTCAAGCCTGTGGCAGCTGGTTGTGAGCGCACTCACAGTGTTGGAGTTGGAGTTGATATCTCGGCACGCAGTGTCCGTTGTTACTGCCTGCCCACCCTCCACTTTCGGAAACTCGGCCGAGAACCTTGCGAACATCTGTTTAAAGCGTACGAGATACGTACAGCCTTGTTAGGCTTCTACGTCTCTACTTAGGTATCTACTGGTTGGAGCAACCCCTATAGAGTCCTTCGCACATTGTTCCAAATGCTCCCAGTCTCTGGTCCGAGGCCCGATTCATGATCATATGCATAACATCCAAAAGTTGTCTCTCATTGCGCTATATGCCTTGCACTTTCCGATAATTTGGCGGTTTCCACGTCCTTCTAATGACCTTCCCGCCCCAGACGGGCACAAGACTGATCGCTCCCACGGCAATCACTCTCCAAGCCCAACTCCAGCTCGCCACATATGCCAAGTTGAAATAGTCCCCAAGGAAGGGCACGCTGGCCGCATAAAATACCGCAGTCCCGACAATGCAGACAATCATGATGGGGTGCCAGGTTGTAACCGACACAGCCACCATGATAAGCTCGTTCAGGATGAGGACGGTGAAACTGACACTGAGCATGCGAGGCCCGTCGACCTCCCCGACCAAGAGTTGCGACAGACCTTGGATAATGACCCCTTGATATACCGACACCAAAACCCAGGTAAAGAAGGTCTGATAGCTCAGGCTCTTGCCTGATTTGAGTTCCTTGTATAGTTCAGGGTAGAGGTTGGCTAGATGCTCGTCCACATCTCGATCGAGCACCAGGGAGAAAACGGGTGCCATGGTGTAAACCGTGGCGTAGCCCACCATCAGCCAATCCTTGAATAGACCCTTCGGGTCGAAATGTCCAGCGATATTATACATCGTTTGACACACACTGATGATCAACCCACGGTGTATGATGAACTGCGCCAACTTCGCGGACCGCTTGTAGCTGTTGCGGCCGTGCCAGACAAGCAATTTTGTGAGATAGCAGAACTGCTCAATGCTGAAATCAGCTGCCAGCGAGGCCTGCCGTCCTTCTTTACCGACAATACCGATACCCACGTCCGCAGCTTGGATCATGCTGACGTCGTTGCCGCCATCTCCAATGCAGCAGACACGCTTCTTGGTATGTTTGCGAATCAAGTGCGCCACGTCGGCTTTTTGTGTTGGCGAACAGCGACAGGCAATCACTGCGGGTAGCTGAACTGCTACCGTGATGAATTCATGCCGGAATTGGCTGAGCATGAGTGCCAGTGACTCGCCGTCAATCAGTAGGCATGATTCAGTTTGATTGCGCATCACATCCAACGCGTCCTTGCCCTGCGCCTTGGTTTTCAGCTTGGCCATAGTCTGGATATGCTGACCGCGTGCAACCAAGCGAGCTGAAACTGCCACACAACGTGCCGTCTCGATCTTGTCACCTGTCAGCATCCATATTTTGACGCCGGCATTGCGGAGGAGTTCGAGAGATGGCTTGACATCCTTTTGCAAACGGTCTTCCACTCCCGTAACGCCTAAAAGCTCTAGGTCATGCTCAAGGTGCTTCTTCACAACAGCAGCCATTCCTGCATCTCGCTCATGTAATGCTAACGACGCATCTGCATATTCGGAAGAGAAGTCTTCGTATTGCTCTAGTGAGAGCTTTTTGCGGCCAACGACGAGCGTGCGCAGCCCTTCACGGGCCATGTTGGCAGTTTCCTCATCAAGCCAATCATTTGCTGCCACAATGGAGCTCATGACTGTGTCCGCACCCTTTT